TAATAAGATCATTTTTAAACTACCAGAAAAGAGGATGCTAGCAAATTTGAAAGTTCAATGTAAGTCATTTAATTATTATTTGCTCCTGGGAAGGAATGTTGGGCAATCTACTTCTGTAGTGATATCACCTCGGAAACCCGAGGAAGGGTTGCTATGAGTTGGGTCCAACTCGATGACAGTGTTTGGTATGTTTATAACTTCCTCTAGGGAATTATCCTTAAGATGCCACTTCTAGTAGGTACTCTGTACATAATTAATTTCAAGTTGATATAGTTATTAACAGAAGTCCAAAATTTATTATCTTCTTATGTTATCTTTGTGTCTCTAGTTCTGCAGGATTATATCTGGCACCCTGCAGACTGGAGGAAGACACATTTTGACAACTGTGGACTCATGTATTACCATATTAAATGTTGCCTACCAATGATACCCAGTTTCACTCCTCTTCCTTCCAACTGCTGGGAATCCCAGGAATGGAAACATTCCACATCTGGATTGGCTTTCCCTTTTGTGTTGTGTACATGGTTGCACTCTTAGGGAACTGCACCATTCTGTTTGTGATCCCAGCTAACAGCAGCTTGCACCAGCCCATGTTCTGCTTTCTGGCCATGTTGGCCACCATTGACGTGGGCCTCTCCACAGCTACCATCCCCAAGATGCTTGGTATCTTCTGGTTTGGCCTTAGAGAGATAGACTTTGATGCCTGCCTCACCCAGATGTTTTTCATCCACAACTTCACACTTATGGAATCAGCAGTCCTTTTGGCCATGGCTTATGATCGCTATGTGGCCATCTGCAACCCACTCCGATACAACACCATCCTCACTAACAAGGTTATTTCTGTGATTAGTCTAGGCATATTAGTGAGGTCCTTCATTTTTGTTTTTCCATTTATATTTCTTATTATACGATTACCTTTCTGTGGGAATCATGTCATTCCACACACCTATTGTGAACACATGGGTCTTGCTCGCCTGTCTTGTGCCAGTATCAAGGTCAACATTATTTATGGCCTATGTGCCATTTGTAATCTGGTGTTTGACATCATAGCCATTGCTATTTCCTATGTCCAGATACTGCGTGCTGTTTTCCATCTACCTTCCCATGAAGCCCGGCTCAAGTCCCTCAGCACGTGTGGTTCACATGTTTGTGTCATTCTTGCCTTCTATACACCAGCCCTCTTTTCCTTTATGACACATCGCTTTGGCCACAATGTCCCCCACTATATCCACATTCTTCTGGCCAATCTCTATGTCATAGTGCCACCGATGCTCAACCCTATTATCTATGGAGTCAGAACCAAGCAGATCTATGACTGTGTGAAGAAGATATTAATGCAGAAATAAGAACTGCAAGAGGAATAGCACCTAATACAAATGACTTTGGGCAGAGGAATGCTTTGTCATTAGAAATATATTCAAAGTATACTTATATTTGTTCTCTTCTGTGAGTCTTCCAAGGAGTGGTGATGATGCAGTGGTTAAAGCATTTGGCTCCTAATCAAAAGATCAGTGGTTTAAACCTACCAGCCACTCTCTGTGAGAAAGATGAGGCAGTCTGATTCTGTGAAGATTTACATCCTTGGAAACCCTATGGGGACAGTCTACTCTGTCATATAGGGAGGTTCTCTATGAGTAGGAATCAACTTGATGGCAGGGAGTTTACCTTTTTTTTTTTTTTTTTGGTTTGCTAAGTCTTATACTGCACCAAATTTCCATCTATATTTCCAATCACTTCTTACTTTTCCTTAGCCTCAATTCCTTATGATTTTATTTTACCATTTTATGCATTTTAATACCTTTTTAATGTTTCAATATCAACAGATTGGAATGTCCACTTTTCTGATAATTTGCATTTCATGAAGCTTTTTTCTTCTCCCAATGTAATTTAGATCACTTACCATTTTTTTAACTGCAATATAGTAGGAATGAAATGGTGAGTGTGCCATTTTAATGACATGAAATTTACGGAGTTTAAAATCAATCAGCAATCTGAACTTATAAGCATCCATCTTTTTCTTTCAGCCTTTTTACATTTAAATTTCAATTAAATTTTAAGTTTGTCTTCCCCTACAAGCTGCACTGAGTTTATATTACATTATGCCAGTTTTAGTCTTTTTAATAAGTTACTTTTTAAAACAGATTACACGTCATATTTAAGATATTTATTCTTGTGTTTCTATTAAATGTCTCATTTTATTTTTGCTTGTAGTGCCTAAGGCACTTGACTGCTAACCAGAAGGCTGGAGGTTCAAACGCACCAGCCACTCCTCAGAAGGAAGGTTGGATAATCTACTTCCATACTGATACCACCTCAGAAACCCAAGGAGGGATCTCTATGAGTCGGATCTGAATCGATGGTAGTAAGGTTTTTGAGTTTATATTTACTGTCTGTAACTTCAACCTCACCTGTGAACCATTGTCATAACAATGATTTTTCCACTTTGGAAGTATGTCATAATTCTTTCTACTGTAAATCCTATTTGCTTTAATTTTATATG